CAAAATCTTATCTAATTTAATATGAATAGGCAGAGTCCACCTGTTGATTAAAACAGGTAAATAAATGCCTAACTGAAGAGTGATCATGAAGACCAACATTAAAGATAAAGTTATTAAAATCCCACAAATTAGAATTAGAAATAAAATTACCTCCAAATTTTTAATTAGCAAATCGACAACAGTTAAAATTCCTTAAAATAATCCACGGTGATGAAATATTCTTTGCTAAATTAAGAAGATCATGCCGAAGAGAAATCCTATCAACAACCGAGTTAGTCGAATAAACCACAATAATAAAAGAAGAAAAAGAAGAATTTAACTCAATCAAACCATAAATAAACTAATTAGAAGGAATAATGCATTTAAAACAAATACGAGAGGCATCCCATTTCAACCAAATTATAACCATAGAAAAGTAGGAAAAATTATGACAACTGCCTTCTTGAAGGTAAATCCTATGTTTAACATCAAACCAATTATCATTAACCTAATCCAAATTAATCTTAGCTTCAAGAATATAAAAAAGCTCTATCATTTAACTATGGCACCATTAAAAAAAAAAAGAATATAAAAAAGCCCTGAAATATGATGATTCTTTCCGCATAAAAAAAAGCTCAACATCTAAATTGTTAATAATTTTTTGCAGGAAAAAACTCTATCTAAATGATGAAAATCTCTAACATTTCAAGAAATAATATTAGGCATTAACATTAATATTTATAAGAAGAATTTGCAGCCTTTTAGGCTTTTTTTGAATGAGTAGGTTTCCTGAAAGCTAAAGAAACCTTATGAATAGGTTGCCCTTTATCACTATCATTCAACAATTCAACATCATTCTTTTGGATACTTACAAAAGAATCACCAAGATTACCAGCCTGTGATCCCATTAAATGTTCTTCTATCCCTTGTAAAACACGAAACTTGTTTACCATATTAGCATCCTTAGAAAAAACATCATTAATAGAAATATCCAAAACCGAAGTAGATTTATTTAATAAATTAGTAGAAAGAACTTCTGAAGGAGAATTTAGAGTTGACAAAGCTTCTAACAAGCCAGAAGAGATACTATTTAAATTACCCAAATTAATATTATAAGGAATAGAAATAAAATCTTTAATGTTAATATTCTCATAAGACAAAATCACTTGTCAAGAATCTATCACATCCTTAGCTTTCAGAAAATGCAAATTAGATTATGATTGAAGAATCGAACTAGAATGAACCTATAAATTGGAAATATTCGGATCAAGATGGTTGGATTTAGCTTTAAGAGGATTAGAAGATTTAGAAGGGCGAGAAGACACCTTCCAAGTTTTCCTAGTCATAGTCCTACTCCTCTATCAGTTTCAAACATAACCTTCTCTTTATCTTTTAGATCCATAGGTTTAGAAGTATAAAGAGAGACGGGATAAACTAGAGAACCACAACCCGAACATGGAGAGGGGTTCCAATTTTTAAAGGAAAAAACGTTACCCATCACATAAACTTTAACTTCCTCATGAAGAGGAGAGTCTTTATTGATAAGAAAAAAAATCCTAGCAAAAGTAAACCTAACTTGATTTGCAATTAAGGACTTAAGGCATCCACATATAAAGAAATCCAAATTATACTACCAATTTTTGAAATATCTTCTAGATTCTAGCAAACTAACTGACACCGGACCGGAGGGGGCTCGACAAATCCACGTCGACGATTCGGTGGCGGTCGCCGGATAACTCCAAGAACTTCTCGGAGGAGAGGGATCACCACCTGAAATCCTTCCAGGATACAGAAACCCAAAAAGAGTAAAATTACTCAATTCTTATTCATCTCAAAATCTATCTCTATTACAAGTAAAGGCTCTTATTTATAGACAAATGTAACCCCTAATAGGCTACACTCAAAACAAGAGAGCGCTAATTCTATGTAGCCATATACGCTACCAAAAGAAATAAAACTAGACTAAAGTTTAATCGGATAAATCAACTCAGCTCCGGCGTCATACTACCGGAGTAGGAGGAACTTCAGTCTCATAGGAAAATGTCTGGTTGGCCACAAGAAGGAGGTGGGTTTGGTTGGCTAAACCGGTCTGGATAAATCCAACAAGTGTCAACACCATTGAATAAACTATACTGGACTCTAGAACAAGTCTCTTCACTGCTACCCAATTGTTGATTCCTACAACTTGCCTGTAAGGATGTAACCTTGCAAAACTCACATTGCCATGGACCAACGGGGTTTTTAGGGCTACGATAGCAATCCAAGTGAACAACAATCTTGCAGCATATCCAATCTTTTAAGTCGCCTTCAAGCTTATCTCCACCTTCATAAAATAGTTTACTTGGAACATTCCTCTTATCAGTGATGGAAAGCACATTTATTGCCTTAACAGGAGGAATATACATGCATAACTCCGGCGGGGCATCCATCTTGCTCTGGTCATCGTCATACATGGGTTGATCAAGATCAAGAACTCCACCGAACATGTCGTCATCATACACATCGTACACGGGTTCATCGTAGAGAGGCAAAGACAACGAATTTGGCAATGGATCTTCCAATTCTTCAAAGCAGAACTCGATCGAAGGTGTGGTGGAAGACAGACGAGGTGGTATATCAAATACGTCTTCGTAGATAGAAGAGATATGATCATCTAGTGGATGAATGCCATCAAAGTCCCGGACAAGGGGGCGCACGTCTTTCCTTTGTTCAAGCCTCGATAATTGTTGTTTGAGGAGGGCAATTTCTTGTTGAAGATCTTGAATTTCGGCTTCTTGACATGGTCGTTGTCGTGTTCGACGAGGCCACATCTTGCTCGTCTAACAGGCTAAAAAAGTTTTTATCTCTGGCGGTCCTGTTCGGATCCCAGATGCAATCCGCCAAGAACTACTGCTCACGGACGATCCTCTTTAGGCAACTGGAAATCCACCAGTCACTTTAAGAAATAATTCTTGAAGTCTGCCTCGAAGAAGATTGGCCATCACTAGGATTTTTCTTCAGGGAGATATCAAGAAATACTCAGAAATAATCAGGTGGCTGAAGACTGTTAGTAGCCTTCTTGGCTACTGGACAACACTTCTGGACTGCGATTCAACCTCTTGGTCCGACGATTTGCTCGGAACGAACCACCCAGACGTGATCTTCAAGGAGGAGGAGCAACTCTGACTGTTGGCTGTCAGAGTACGAGTGGAGATCGTTATTTGGAGCGGGAGGGGAGGTAGGTTGCGATCAAACGACGCCGGCGATGGAGGTGATGTGACGAAGGACAAGAACGCCAACAACTTGCTTTGATACCCTGCTTGCATGCGTCCACACCACCGACTTGTTTTGCGCGATCTCCCACGCTAATTTGCTCGTGGACTCCTGTAGCACTACAACGCCGGAGATTGGAAATCGCAGATCGGTCTTGAAGTCCTAGGTGACCTTTGCACCACCCGCTGAAAGCAAGATCAACCTCATGTTCCCTGGCCAGGTTCACGAGCAAAGGATGGATGACGCTTTGCTACTTCTTGATAGTTGACAGAATCTTGAATGTAGATGCAATATTCTGCACTCGTTTCTACAGACAGCTGAACTCAATTTCTTCACCACCTGAAAAATCCATTCAGGATACAGAAAGAAAAATAGAGGACGCGCCAAGAAATGACTTCTTCTTCTAGATCAGAAAACTCAAAAGCTCTCCCTGCCTCGTCGGCAATGCCAGCACCTTGCCGGCTCTGATACCAAATGACACCGGACCGGAGGGGGCTCGACAAATCCACGTCGACGATCCGGTGGCGGTCGCCGGATAACTCCAAGAACTTCTCGGAGGAGAGGGATCACCACCTGAAATCCTTCCAGGATACAGAAACCCAAAAAGAGTAAAATTACTCAATTCTTATTCATCTCAAAATCTATCTCTATTACAAGTAAAGGCTCTTATTTATAGACAAATGTAACCCCTAATAGGCTACACTCAAAACAAGAGAGCGCTAATTCTATGTAGCCATATACGCTACCAAAAGAAATAAAACTAGACTAAAGTTTAATCGGATAAATCAACTAAGCTCCGGCGTCACTAACGACATATCAAGAATTTTAATCGAGAGAGAATTATAATCAAACTCCTTTTATTTTGGTCTGAATGAAGGCGGTCACATTTGAATAATAAATGATTTTCCAAAAAAAAAAAAAACAAGGTCCTCCAGACCAATATAGATTATAATCTTCTGGACATGAAAACTTCATTAAGAAAAAACTTTCACTTAAAACAAGAAGTGTAAGATTATCTCTAAGCTTACAGATTTTAAGTATTATCGAACATAATGTTTCAAAGTAAGATCGTTTATCCAAAAAATAGCTAACTATAGTAGACCCCCATTTTTCTGAGGTAGATGCAACATCTTCCTCAAGAAATGAGCGAGATTATCCGAAAAGAGAAGAAGAAACAGAAAAAGATTTATAAGAAGATGGAATGGGAAGTGAATAATCCAAGGCCTTAGCAGATGACAAGTGAGAAAAGTCTTTTGAAAGATCCATGAAAAAATCTAAAGAAAGCAAAGAGAAATAACCTCCTAGGGTTTTACCAGAAGCCCAAACTAGGATATATTTAATATCAAAGTAATTGTAATGATTGCAAACTTTTTGTGAGAGTTCATTGTATCTGGACCATGTTCACATGGTACGTAAAGAGAACCAGGTTCAATCTATATGCGCTACTACAGCACTCGCAAACGTTGCCGTCCGATGTAATCTGACGGCCTATATATATTTCATTGAACGCGGTGAAGTGGCCCGCCACGTTAATCGGCGTTAGTGAAGCCCAAGCTGCCTAAGTGACATGAATACACGCCACGTGGGTGGTACAGATCGAGTCTCATCATAATTGATTCGTTTGATCAATGATTCGTTACAAAATGCGGGCCCGTGGCTCCTCGTCGTTTTCTTCTGGACTGCTGCGCAGCGAGGCCGCGACGAGTGCCCAATAAAAAGGCATCGCTCTTCAACATGATTCCGATCATTAAATAGCTGGAGTGGGGGCACAGATGTTGTGGTCAGTCGGAAATACCCTTGGAGAACTGGCTAATCTCGCCAGCTCTTTTACTTTCCCTCGCTATATAGCTGGCGAGATCCATCAAATAGAACCAACCCCATATAGATTTTGATAAAGAGGTTTCTCTCTTTCTCTCTGCACCTCTCTCTCTCTCCAAGTCTCAACTCTCATCTTTCGTGAATATTCGAATATACCATTAATCAGGTTTTCTGCACGCAATTCAGTATAGCTAGCAACAATATCAGAGGAGATTTAATTATTAGCGCTCGCTAGCTAATAGCATATTCCCTTGTTCCCAAAGGCATTTAACTTTTCTAAGTACCAGCGGCCAGGCAACGGAAAAAAAAAAAGAAGTACAATACGATTAATTAAGTTACAAGAAGGTGATCGACGGAGTAGCTAGCTAGCTAGCTTGATCGTTATTCAAATCGAAAGAGATCAATCGATCAAGAGATATATATTATATATATCGGCATCAGGTCTCGCAATCTGGCATGGCTTCGATGTTAATGTGCCGGGAGGATCGGAGGCGAGAGTGTGTGCGGTGGGTAGAAAAATATTTCAAGGACTGTGTTTGTGACATCAGAAGCGAAATTTCTTTCAGCCTTGGGATGCTAAGCTTGGTTTTCTGGGGCATCGCCGAGATCCCTCAGATCATTACAAACTTCCGCACCAAGTCTGGCCATGGCGTCTCGATCGCTCTCCTCCTCACTTGGTTCGTCGGGTACGCTACATATCATAATTATTAATTTCTTATTTCCTAGCTTTTTCTTTTCAAAAATAAAAAAGTACAAAAATATGAACTCGATCGATCGGCTTCTTCTTATTGGGTATATATTTATATGGTTGCAGTGATATATTTAACTTGGTCGGTTGCCGCCTCGAACCGATTACGGTGAGATTAGCATATAACCAGTAATTTGTTTACTTATATTACTCGATCGTCCTTCAATCTGTTCTTGGATTTCCTCTCGATTAATATTGCGAATAAATTATATATGTAACGATGAATCTTGCTTGATTAATGCAATTTTTCTTTGATGCAGCTACCAACTCAGTACTACACGGCTCTGGTAATTAATTAAATAATTTATACCGATAATTATCAGCTATATATATCGAGGAGGTAGCTTGTGTCATTATTTTATTTTGTTGATTCTGACTTATCAAATAAAAAAAAAGTATGCTTTCGATTTGGATGCAGCTTTACACAGCAGTCACAGTAGTGTTGATTCTGCAAACCTTTTACTACGATTACTACAGTAGAATTCGGAAGGACAATATTGGCTTCAATAATGCTCTGACTACCGCTGTTGATGATGATGGGGTGACTTCTTCCATATTCCCCTCAATTTTGTGCTTGATTTAACTTTAGCAATTGATAAGGACGTTCGTATATACGGCCGGCATATAATTTATTTTTTATTTTTTTTAATCAAATAGAAAATAGAAATAACCAATTGATTATGTCTCTTGTATTTTTATTCAATTCAAACTGGTTAGCTAATTAATCAAATACTATACTTATATGATCAGGTAGAAGCAATGAAGAAGCCTTTGATTGATCCAAGGCGCAAGGATGAAGCCCAAGCTGTACCAACAAAGACTTCAAATAGAGCGTCTCCTCGCACTGATTCCTATTACATGTATACAATATTGGCCATTACTGTTAACTAACATTATCATTTAATAATTAACAGATATCTTTTTTGTTGACGACGTTAAGAAAATTCTTTAAATCTCTTAAAAGTTGATGCATGGATCGATCTATGACAGGTCAGCGAGGTCATTGGCCAGTAGTACTGGGACGCCGTCGTACATGCAAGTTGGTAGATTTGGTAGCGGGCCGTCAACTGTGGCAGCAGTACACGACTCTTCCTCCGATGGCGACGAGGACGAGGACACTGCCGATAACCATTATAATTCCAATCGTCTCCCTAATCCTTATAAGCCCATCGCCTCTCCAGCCGTGAGTATTCATTTATTATATTTGTTTAAAATGTTCTCTTGTCTACTGCTGCTAGTTAATTTTATATATATATAGAGAGAGAGAGGATATTTATTAGGTCAAAATAAGGTAAATAGATGCATCATATATGTAATTTATAAATTCAAGATTTTTTTCTGATAGTTAAAACTCTCAATTAATAAATTAAGATAATTATATGCAGTACTATATCCAATATGAACACGGTTACATCAAGATTTGTCACCTTCCCATTTGGAATAAACCTAAATTACCATTTGTACAGGCTACTCGAGTGCATGGATATAATTATTTAATTTTGTTTCTCTGCCAGGCTACTCTTGCTTCTTGTTCGATTTGCCTTTACTGGCGTCCCATTAGGATATTTCTCTCGACGCTCTTGATCTGTCAGGTTGTGTAGATTAGCGGTGAAATGTTGAAACGTTGGATAACTGGATATGGATTTTATATTTAATTAGAGGATATACATGGATGATGTGTCCTTTACTATTTCTGCCCACTTTAGCATAAGTACTTACCTTAGGGTTTAGCATTAGTTGCTTGGGTTGAATATCGATCGATCATAATATTGAAGCATTGCATCTTCTTAATCCATAAGCGAAAACCACATGGCCGAAACATTATATAACTCATGAATAAAATACAATGGTTTTTTTTCCATTTGTTTTTGATATGCATCAAATTTTTTAGGGTTTTCATCAAAAATAATTTTATACTCTTATGTTTATGATTTCATGGAAATTAAATTATTACAATCACACCAAGATAAAAGAGGGAGACAAAAAAATTAGCCTCGAAGAATTCTTTTAAGGATTGATTTAGAGAGAACTCAGTGGTCTCATTTTAGACTAAAAATGGCCAAACTATATCAAGCTAGGAGGTATTTAGTTAAAGGAAAAAAGGGAAATGTTAAAGAACTAGATTTAAATGCATCATTGATAAAAAAAAGAGTAAAATTCATCAAAGATTTTTAAAATTTTGACCCGATCCATTCCTGGAACATGGACCCCTTTTTTCCATTTGTGTTTCTCGGATATAATGGTTATTTTTGTAAACAATATCCACTATTCTGGTGAAAAGAGAAGATATTTATGATATCAATAAATAAAGTAAAACTGAAATATTATTTAGTATTTTGATAACTTTTTCAAAATTAATGAGAAAGGAAAATCAGAGAAGAGAGCTATAATAGAGGAATGTTACAATCGAGAGATCATGTAAGTTTATAATGATGATGGGTTTGTGGTCTATAGCAATGATGGAGGCATCATAATATAAGTGCATTGATGGAATAGAAGGTGAGTTGGTGTCCTTTTTGTGTATGAAGTTGTGAAATATTTGGGATTTGGCCTAACCAAGTCATCACAACTTTGCTACAATATTCAATGACCAATCACGAGTATATTTTTGGCATAGGCATTAGTGCTCCACATTAAATCTTGTTTTAGTTAGTATAATATGCTTGATATTATTAGATTTTGTCATAACTATTTATTGGAACTCCTATAAGAGGCTTGCTGAGGAACATCATGATTCTTGGAGAGTAGCTTCTAATAAGTGTACTAATCAAGGGGATCAATAGGTTTCCCTAGATATAAGTTAATAAGAACCCAAGATAATCTTAGAGATTATCTCTTAAGACAAACTTCCCTAGTACAATCTCGAATATCTCACATACACCAAGAGTCAATTTATATGTGGTGGGGCCCTTCATGTTACAATCACCATGTCAGACTCTTTAGTTAACATTCAGGATCTCCCCCACCCCCAACCAGTGGAGGAGCCAAAAAAATTTTACAGAAGGGGCATTCAAAGCAGAGAACGCATTGGAGTAAATGTGAAGCATACCAAAGGACACGTTGTAATTGTTCACGTAATCCAACCCCTGAATTATTCTCACAACCAGATGTTGACCTTCGAAAGGGTTCCACTAGGCTACAGATGCGAAGGGTATATGACCGCACCACCCCAAGGGATAGAGACGATCGCATGCCTCCGTGCTCTTCGCAAGTGGGCCAATGGGAGGGCATATTAGATCCTACATACGATCAACCATTGAGAATAGTGGCTCTCGCCAGCGCACCCTGATGGGTGATAATATGCACGACCTGATCACTGTCATGGGGTTTCCCCCATCTGATACATCAGCTTCAGCGGGGTTTATTTATTGTGGAATTTCATTTTTCACGGGCGCAAGCCCCTGTGGTTAATTACATCTCAAGCCGAAGCCTGAGAATACTCTCGATTAAGGATCTAATATTATTCTTCATAAAAGGGGATTGACACAAAAGGAAGACTATGAAATCCTACTAAAGGGAAAGAAAAGATTCAAATGGCTTAGTCAACATGCACGATTCATATTGACATCTAGAAGGACTAAGACACTAGAAAGAAAGGGGATCATACACTCGTAGCATACAAAAGGGAATGATAGAAGCGGCATCATCCATGTTACACAGATAAGTAGAATTTATAGTCTAAAAAAAAGGAACTTACTTATCAATTAGGCATACTACGAGACACCTAATGTAGTAGCCTAAAATCCTAGATTTAGAGTGGGTTTAGTGTTCTACCAAACACTAACACTCTTGTCCTACCTAATGCAATCTGTGCTTATATCCTGCCTAAAAAAAAATAGCCAGCTAATCACTTAAGTACATAAAATTCATGATATCTAGTCTTTATAAAAGATGGGTAGGTAGGATGAGTGTTTTGGAAGTGAGACCGACGTTTAAAGAGTTTTTTAATTGACCTTGAACTTATGTAAGGTGAATGCTCCTAGAGCTAATATAATTAAATTTTAATTAGATTTATTTTTAATACAATGCATGCTAGTTGAAAAGGTCTCCATATCAAATATGCTTAGAATTTTAAAAATATGCTTATAAGTATAAAAAATAATTTTTAGAAAAGATTAGACTTCCTCAGATCTGGGACCTCATCTTCATAGGCCAGATTATCCAGACTCTACCCGCAGGCGAGGAAGTTTCTTATAGAAAGAGAGAGAATATGCATTTAATATGCATGGGACCCAGACAATTTCGACTATTTTTTAGGTTGTTAAGTTTCTATGTTATTTAATTATTAAAATTTTAAATTTTGATTACGAGCAAAAAAAATATTTTATCCTAGAGAGCCTGATGAAAACAGTACAAGCACAGGCAAGAAATAAAACTAGAAAAGTATGCAATTTTTAATGCGTACATAAAATAAACACATCAATATAAATAACCAACACAGTAAAGTAAAGTCTAAAGTCCACTATAAGTATCGTATAAGTATAGCCCAGGATTTATAGAAAAGTAATAGTGACCTGGCTCCACCAACAACATCATTAATTCTAATCCTAATGAATAACGCAAGTCTTAAAAGTCAGACATTTCATCTTCAAGTCTTCGTCTTCGAGTGGATCATACTTCTCTGGATCATCTCCCTTTGAATCATCTCCTTCGGGCTCCGTATGATTCATCATCAAGAAAAGTACCCAAATGACTAAGAAATTTCTTTGAAGGGCCTTTCTTTTTCTCTTTGGGTACCGAGTATTTGAAATACTTCACTTTTAATAGACTTTCACAACTTGATACTTATTACAAATACATTAAGTTTGAAAACAAAAATCTAAAATCTCCTACATAGTTATCCTAATAAAAATATCCCAAGCAATTTATATAGCACAACCCAAATAGTTTATATCTATTTAGAAAAATAAACACACTTGGCCATACTCTTATTTATTTTAAGGGCTAAGCTGTCTGAAACACATGTGGCAAGCATTTATGATTATTAATTAATTTAGCCCCCTTTATTTTAGCACTGCATGAGCATGGCCAAATGCATAAGATTGAATTAGTATAAAGCATCTCTAGCTTATGAGAAATCTAACACACAAATTGCATCACAAGAAAAGTAGGTATAATAATAAAATAAACATCATCACCACAAATCCAATAAAAAAAAGTTAAGTCAAGCAACACTTGTGCACATATAATCGCATTACATCATAGAAAGTAGAAAAGGTAAACATCGGCCTTAATACTAGAGCTAGAAGTTGTGCCCTAGCAAACCTATGTGTGTGTAATAAGCCTGTGTGGCTTTGGGTAGTTCCTATGTCGGATAGTTAGTTCAAGTTGCATAGAGTTCAGATTTGTTAAAGATCAAAAGGGGAAATTTTAATTAAAATTTAAATATCAATGATTTGGGGTCCATTTTTAGTTATTTTAGTTTATTAATCCATTTTAATTCTTAGGATAGTGATCTTTAAAGTTTAAATTGCATTAGTTGATTTTAGACTATTCGGTGTTCTCCTATACACTAGGCTAAGGGGGTCTAAAAGTCACTATTAGAAACGTGTTAGATTTTGGTGTTCTAGCATTTTGATTAAATATTAGGTCTTAAGTGGAGTAGTTAGGTTTTGAGTTTGCTGAATTTGAAGTTTTCTAGGCAAATATATGAATTTTAGAAGTTTCGGGCAATTAACGAATTATTAAAATTGTTTAATAAGGGATGTTTTAGGGGTTTTGATCTAAATCATCTCCAAACTGATTGGATTCATCCCCAAGGTCAGAAATGACCTAAGAAGATATTCCCAAGTGTTTGGAGAAAATTTGAAAGTTTTAATAAATTTTAATTACTTAATTAAGGAAAAAAGGTGATTTTTAGTTAAAGTTAAATTAAGGCATAGATTAAAGTCTAATTAAGAGGCCCTAATTATATATCTAAGGCTAAGTATTAAAATATGAAGAGTTTGAGGTATTATGAGTAATTTTTTGAGTTGAAATGAATTTATTATAATTCTCAGAAGTTATTGGGGCCCTATTAATGGGTTAAATTAGAGTTTCTTAATTAAGGGGTTTAAAGGCTCCTAAAATTTTTTATAAAATTCTGGAAGGTTTAGGATGTCACCTTATCCTAAAAAACTCTGATAGATTTAGGATTTAGGGGTTTTTTTTCTGATGGTTAAAGGGCAAAAAATCTCAAAGTTAACAGTATAGTCAAGAGCAAGAGTGATAAGGAACACCCAACTAAACTCATTGAAACATTTGCCTCCCTTGAAAAGTTTGGGATGAAGCTTAATCTTAGAAACTGCATTTGATACCTATAAAGAAATGCTCCTTAGCTACATCATACTCTAGCCATGAAAATTAAGGCCAATCCTAATAAAATTTAAGCTATCCTTAATATGCCTTTATTGAAATCCATCTAAGAAGTACATAAACTCATTGGGAAGCTTATAAGACTCAATCAATTCATCTCTTGATTGGGAGAAAAGTACACACCACTATTCAAGATCCTTGTTAAACCAAATTATTTCACATGGTATGAAGAGTGTGAATGCTTCTTCCAATAGTTGAAGTTTTGTATGACTATAACCCTAGTGCTTAATAACCTAAGTTCTAGCAAAGATTTATTCTTATATCTTTGGGTCATGGATGTTTATTAGAATAGAATGATTTGCATATTATATATGATTATTGTAAATGATAATTTAATTTGATAAATATGAATGTGTATAAAATGGTGAATTAACACTCTATTTTGTTTATGTTATTTTAATTATATATGTATGTTATTAGTGGATCTGGAATGAATTTAGAAGATAAACGAGATAATTCTTTCAAATAAGATCTTGGGTTGTAACGTTAGATGTGGAAAAAAGGTTAGATTGTTTTTGAAAAGCTTTAAACCAAGATCTTGGGAGCTTAATGGTTTGGTGGCAAAGATAGAAATAATAATGATAATTCTTGTGTTTGGAGGGAGAGGTTAAAGAGGGATGAAGGGTGTTAGTTTTGGGAGGTGTGAATGATTTAAATGGAAAAGAAATATAACTTAAATTAAAGGTAAAAAATGTTTATTAAAATTAAAATATTAAGAACGTTGTAAGACACCAAGCTTCTATAAGTATAACTTAATGAATTAAGAAAACAAGCAAGAAGAATTTTCCAAATTTTAATTAAAAAAAAAAAGAAGATAGCTCTTGCAACAAGTTTTGCATAACAAAACCATCACAATACAATAGAGACAAAATCTTTTGATTATAGAAATTTTCAAAGCTCTATCCACCATATGAGTTTTACTTTGTCATCTTTAGTTTTATTTTTTGTTTTATTATTATTATTTTTTAATCCACCCTAAGGCTCCTCCTTTAGGTCATTCTGATCCCCTCCTAGGAGAAGGGTAACCTCAACCACGTTTAATGTGTCTACAAAAAATAATTTGAACTGAATATAATTAATTCCCTATCTTAAGCACCAAGATATTGTAGCATCAAATGTGTCTACAAAAATAAGGAACAAATTCTATTTTTAATAAAATTAAATTCCTAATATCTAACTTGAGGCAAATGAGAAACAACCTAATGATATATACTTTCGACTCATGGTTCAATTTAGATTACTTGAAAAGTTGAATAAGAGCTAGTACTTTTATAACAAAAAAACATTCGCATATATATATATATATATAATTCATCATGCTATTAATTAATTGATTTTGCATAATTCAATTAAAATTCCTCGTTCTGATTACTCTTCCAAATTACAATAATCCTGTCATACATTGTGTTTTTGTATATCATCTATAATGTTCAAGTTAGATTTACGTGAAGTGCCATCAGCCCTTGCATGGTATTCATCAAAATACCTGATATACATAAAACCTACAGACTGGCTATGCAGCAATCATCATCGGCTCTGCTGGTTTGCCGTCTCAAGCCAACGCCCTTATAGAAGCAAATATATATTTCCAAGGCAGAAGATTATTAAAGGTAATTAATTTCTACATTAATCTTTTTTGCTCGTAAACATGAATTAAGAATAAAAACCAAGTGTGATAATAATATATGATGGAGTTAATTAGCTTTATGTTCTTGGATAATGGTAGAATGTTAATGGAAATAAGTTACATAAAAATAATGAAATTAAATAATTAAACAAAAATCAATTAATGCTAACATGTAATATTCTTCTCTTGCCTCAGAACTCAGGGTTGATGACATTGGGGTCCAATCCTTACGGAATGGCCCTAGGATGGGTGATGGCTGCCATTTATATGGGAGGACGTCTGCCTCAAATTTATCTCAATGTATGTGTGTGTATCTTGTATTTTGAAAGTAGCATTTTTTTTTTGGGTGCTAGCTTTACCTGGAATTAATATATATTTCAAAACTTTTAGCTTGCTAGCTTGATTCTAATTATGACTTTAATTAATGGAACATATACGTGTTCACAGATGAAACGAGGAGGCGTTGAGGTACAATATTCACACCTACAATAAGATTAGTATTGCTTAATTTTTATATATACAGCTCGGACTGATCGATCTGTACACGTTGATGAATTTCACATTATGGTTTTTGATATATACTTCAAGCTATAATTGACATTGGTTATCTGCAATTCATTGAACCACTTTGCAGGGTTTAAATCCTCTTATGTTCACTTTTGCTATAATTGCAAATGCAACCTATGTCGGGAGGTATATTTATGTATATATATCTGCATATATCTTTATCCCTTCCTTAATTTAAGTGCATCAATTCATATTAATTTATTAATTTTTAAATATGTCTGTAAACTCAATTAAATAAAACATGTCTCCTTGTTTCAAAATATTTAAACAATTCCCTTTCATTATTATTTTTTCTCTCAATGCAGCATTCTAATGAGGAGTATTGAATGGAAAATGCTAAAGGCTAACGCACCTTGGTTGTTGGATGCCATTGTTTGTGTGCTGCTCGACCTATTTGTATCCTTGATTAATTACTTAATTTCTACCTTTAATTAAAGCCCAGATTATTAAGGCGTTATGACTAGCTAATTGATCTTGAGTCGACCTTGACAGAATTAATTTGCTCATAGATTATATTGCAGTTTGCATACTACAAGTTTGCTGCTAGAAGAGCAACCGATAACGACCTGGAAGTTGATAATAGTGATGATGTGCCTACCGAGGCCAAGAAGACAATTGCTTGAATGGATTTGTGTTAGAAGCCATGCATGTTTTAATTAGACCATGTGTGATTGATAACAAGCTTATGCATCTTTGATTATCTTTTAGAACTTAACAAATGGACAAGGATGAACAAAAAAAAAAAACTAATCATCCACATTTTGATGTTAATTATTCCTTTTTTATTTTATTTTTATTTTTTTTATTTTAATAGGAGACCATTTTGTTGATCTACCTTTCTTTCTTTCTGTTTGCTTCAAGGTCTAGGGGTGGAACTTTAGAATTAAATATCACCGTTCAGATATATCCTCTATACTAGTATCTAACTCCATCTAATTATATGGTTCATGTTGCAATTCATGTATTCCTCGTTTTATATCTTTACTCATTGCAAGTCCTTTTTTTTGGTTGCATACTGCTGATTCTCAAAAGTAAAGCCTAATTAAGAATATATAGTTTGTGTGCAGTTAACTCTACATTAAAATTTCGATAACATATATATAATTGTGGGCTATAATAATCTTATCTAATGAAGCATTATTTTTTAAGTGACATGACCGACTATGAGGATCGAACCTATACACACTATATGCGTGTATATGTTTATGTATATATTTAACATGTATTCACTAGGCTCCCACTAAGGAAGAATTATTCTGTGCGGAGTGCGGAGGGCGTCCGGAGACCAATAAACATGTGTCATGTCATCTCATTGGTGGGTACCTAGCTCGGTACTGACATTCAGTACCGTTGGGTACCCAGTGCTTAACCGGACGGTTCTCTGTCCGGTCTCCGTACAGAATAAAAGCTCATATGAGGCTCAGACGGAACGGTACGTCCCACCTCCAATGTGAATTACTCACCATGATGGAACATAATCGTCTTAGAAGCTGGTTGGTGTTAATCCATAGATTCATGGACATTCATGCAGTGAGGTGAGGTCATCATGTGAAGACTGCCCAGGGCCAGTGCGCCAGACCAAGGAGTCATTGTATTCAACAAGCATCTTAAAGGGACTTGTCCAAACTTTCTTGACCCTCAGATTTCACTCACCTTAATAGGAATTATTCACTTATGACCATCCTTAAAATTAAGGTCACTCGGCTATCGCTAACATCCCCGATCGAGCTCACTATAGGAAAATGACTGATTTTTGATGAAATTGTTGGTTGAAAATTGGCAAATTTTTGTCGAAAAAACATATTTCTGACGGAATTTTTTTTTTGCTGGTAAAACACCCATCGGAAAAACATTTGCCGGTGAAAAAAAATCTACCAGAAAGATTTTGGGCGGAAATTGCAGCTAGAAAATTTTAAGCAAACATTGCTCCTGGAAAAAAAATCAACAAAACTCAGTTTTTCTATGCTTGAATTCTTCCTCTACCTTCTCTTATCATTTATTGTAATGGCTTCAGGAGACAAACACCTAAAATGCTGAAAATTATGATTTTTTGGATTAAGGACATCTTCAACTTGTGAAGATTTCCATCCAGGAATAACTCATTTTTTTGTTTCCAGGTGTTTGAATCATGGCTGAATGGACTCACCACCATGCCCATAGGATTCGCCTTTACAAACTCACCCTTTACATTAGGCCTCAATGACTCGACCAAGACTCAACTTTGTTGATGTTCAAGAATATAAGCTCTATCATTTTGAAGTTGTCTTCCTAGGCTTTATTTTCTCGAGTGTCTACATGCAAGGATTACATTTACAAAAATTAAATAAACTGCTTCGTATACGAAGAATGATTCATTCATACTCAAGACTTGGGCTATTATAAGCACAATCCTAATGATGTATCTCCACCATCCTAATAGCTCACTGATATACTTTATAACCTCGTAAATCCACATATTATGAGCCATAGGTTGCCTTAGTAAAAAATGCCTATCTTACTATGCTTCAGTAATAATAAATTTTTTACTTACCTTTACTTTAAGTCCTTTCTCTTTATTAGAAGAGATCAATAGTTATTGAATAAACAAGTGGAATAGAAATAAGATATCATAATTTAGATTTTTCTTGGGTATATCACCCAAGATAAAATTAACCTTAAGAAAAATGTTAGTTTGGGAAATTTTGACCCCCAGAAACTCTAATTACAAAATATAGAAATATTCATGGGGATTTAACTAACTTGCTTACCATTGCTGTCATGAGTTTGAAGAATAGATTAATATAAGATCAAATCTTCTATAACAATTCATTGAAATTATCCTAAATTTTAAATCCCTTCCCATATATTAAAACAAAAATCCCCACCAACATAATACAATAGAAGAGTGTAAGTATATCTATGGGCTCCGAAAATTCGGCCCCGGCCTCCGCCCACTTTAGTTTTCTTTCGGGGGGATTTTTAACGGAATTATGTTCCAGGGTAAATTTTGGGAAGACATATGGGTTTGTAGATAAGACACTACCCAGAGATTTCGCCCTCATTTTGTGAGGACTTTATGATCCGAGTTTTGGTTTCCTATAGGTGCAAGCCCCTATAGTTAATTATCCCTCCTGATCAAGAGAGAGAACTTTCGATTAAGGCTAGTCGTCAATCAGATACGTAGAAAATACGTGTTATCTGGCATATAATAGAAGCATAGGCATGATGTTTGGAAAGGTTGAAGATTTAATATTTAAAATTTAAAATTTTCACCATCTTGCACTTAAAGCGGATGGTGGGAGAATGGATGATGGACCCGATCAAGATCCCATGGTTCTGTCATCCCGGGCCATCGTGGTCACTGGTTTACTTAGTCAGAAGAGGTAGTCGACCCAACTTGATAGAAGGATCCTTGTCGACAGCCATGGGTTGCTTCGCTCAAGGGGACCTTGTAGACCTGGTGTGAATTTGAATACACCTTAGCTAATAGAGGGCTTTGTGCCCTATCGATCATATCTTATTGATTCATATCTCAAGAATTTGATGTCACTAAGGAACGTATTGGCTCTGACCAAAACCGGTATCTCGTGGTGCCATTTGGCGGCAAAACATTCGGTTCAGAGGGCCCCGGGTCATAACTGTTTATCCCGCAATGCCATTTGGCGGCAAAACCGCCGATTAGAGGACATGTACCACGTCCTTACTAATAGGAGATTATTTGAGAATGGATCATAGTGATATTTTTGACTAGGTATTAGCTCTATATAAGTTGAAGTATATTTCAATTTGTCCACCCCGAAAAACGGTTGCATGTTGATCTACATATCTAAGCAAAAAAAAAAAAAAAAGAAAGAAAAGTTAACGTACTGTCCGGCGCCAGATTTTGAGTCTTGCGAACCCCATTTTCGGACGAAGCCCACACGTCGACGTCCCATCTCCTACGATCTCACCATATCGGCATCATGCTCCGCTCGTTCGGCTCCCGCAATTCACTCATTGATGATGTGTCTTTAAGTAGCGATCGAAGTTCACTCCTGCTCTCTCCCCCTCTCGTGGTTGCTCGACTGCGTTCTTCGACAACTTTCCCTCCAGTCGGATCGGAGCTTCAACGTTTCGATCGGAAGTAGGAACGGGAGCCGCATGCTGTGAGGTTAACTTCCTCCTTTTCGTGTGGCTCCTACGACGCCTTCGTGGCTGGACGACTTTGCTCCTTTGACGACTCTTCCTTTCTGTCGATTCGAAAGTTACGACATTTTGAGCAGGACAACAACGGGAATATTATTAATTACTATTAATTATGTTTAACTCTTAATTATAATTAATTGTTAATTAATTATTATTAATTATAATTAGGCATAACTAATTATAATTAATTATAATTAAATAGTTAAGTATTATTAATTGTAATTAATAATTTAATTCTTATTTAATTATAATTATTATAATTAAATAAAATTAATTATAATTGAATATAATTAATGAATTAGTTATAATTAGATGATTAGTTAATTATCATTAATTGGGAATGCCTGCTCCTCCTTCGCCTCGATCCACAAGTCAACACAGCCGACAGTCGTCGACCACTCATGCGAAGGTATTAAGTTCTAAATACCTCCCTCGACGTGCTTGATGCACTGGTGGACCTCTTATACACGCTCTTGTAGCACGGCGAGGGGGAATCCAGTGCAACAAGTGCGACGAGGCAGGTAAGCCCTACACACGCTCTTGTAGCGTGGTGGGGAAAATCCTCGACCTCGACATCAGCACTGCCGACGACTGCTACAAAAGTTATAATTTTCTAAATACCATTTTCGGTGTTTGTATCGGACCAGAGAACCACCTATACCGCTCTCATAGCACAGTATGAGGGAGCCCAGTGCAAAGCATATGATGAGGTGGGTAAGCCCTATACACGCTTTGTAGCATGGTGGGGAGAGCCAATAGTGTTCTTGTATGGGTATTATTGAAGGCCCCATACACGCTCTTTAGCGTGGTGGGATGAAAAGATATACGGTCGCGGTGTCTAAGGACACATACCATACACGCTCGAGTAGCGTGGTGGGAAGGCCCAGCTCCCCTATATTTCCTCCAAATGGGGGATATGCCGGAATGCTGCCGAAATTTTCACTGAAGTGCTTGATCAATATGAAAACCTCACTTGAGCAGCAATGCAGAGGACCCGTGCTTGGACATGAATGCATAGAAGTTGAACTAAATGTGTAGAGGACTTATACGAACAACAGGGGACTTGGACTTGAACTGAACTACAAGAAATTGAATCCCAAATCCTAAAATGTATAATCAAGATCAAAATTCAAATGCCAAATAACAATCTAATGCATTCGAATAAATATAAGCAAACAAGCGGGGGACTCGTGAAGAACAAGACCTCGATGTATACAAACAAGGAGCAATACTTAAATCATAACATCTGAGCAATCACAAACAAAGACCAATCATCAAAACTTAAATACATAAGCACACAATGAATGATGTTGGTTTATACAACGACAGATGTAGTGGACTTCTACAACAGTTCCTATGAGGTCAAAAGCATTATGCTTGCAAGTAAAAACAATTAACTGTAGAATGTACGGGTATCTCCCACTTGCATTAATGAGGTCCAAGATACGAATGCAACAATCCTTTCAATGCATATGAATAATGATATTCAATCAAGTCCACATAATATCAATCCACTGTAAAGAGTATAAATGCCTTCTATATGCAACAAAGAAGAACTCAAAACATAAACAATGTTGTCTGTAGATTAAGATGGCAATACTAGCTCTTGATAGTGGAAGACCCGTCTCTACAAATAAATAAAATTATCAATGACCATCTGGGAATGGTGAAAGGTAAGTGGATATGATGTAGGGACAACGACTCTTCTATGAATATCTCTAGGAGGTCGTAGTGGATACATCGGTCCCCTGCAA